GATGGTGGTCTTGATGCCTGGCCCTGCTGTGGCTTGGACAGATTTGGGTGGGTGTGAGGGTGGGAGCAGCCTGGCATCAGGCGGCTTGGCATGTGGGAGGGGCCCACGGCCTGAATTTGTCAGCTGCCCACGAGGGGACTTTGCTCCTGAGCACCCACAGCAGCTCCTGGTTGGCTACTCTTGCCCCCTCTCAGGTCCCGGCGCCTGGAGGAGGAGCAGCAGACAGCCTTGGCCGCCTTGTCCAGGCAGCTTGAAGCCATCACCGATGTGGAGGAGCTGACAAAACTGGTGAGTGACCGTGTGCTGGGGCTGACCGTGTGCCAGGGTGACCCTGCCTCTCTCCTTGTCTTCCCATCTTGCAGCTGCGGGCGGCGGGTGAGTACGAGGAGCGCAAGCTGATCCGAGCTGCCATCCGCAAGCTGCGGGCTGAGGAGATCGAAGGTGAGATACTGTCCCCGCGTCCTGGGGGTGGCTACCCTGGAGAGCCCAAGGTGCAGGCAGCTCCTTCCTAAATGCCGCCTTTGCTCCTGTCCAGCTGCAACCCTGGCTGGGAACACACAGAGCAGCCGGAGAAGGGATGGCAGTGAGCCTGCAGCTGTGCCCGGGGATGCGAAAAGCAGCCAGAGGGACGATGCTGAAACACCAGCCCTTGCTGGGAGTCGGAAGAACAGCTGGCAAGGTGATACCGAGCTGCCAGCTCTGGCCAAGAGCGGGGAGAGCCGTGGCGAGGGCAGCACTGAGCCCCTGGCCAGGGGGAGCGGGGAGAGCAGGCAGCGAGATGATGCGGAGCAGCCGGCACTGGCTGGGCTGGACGAGAGTGGCCGTGGGGGTACTGCAGAGCGGCCCCCTGCCCAGGAGCCTGAAGGCTCAGCGGTGAGTGCGCAGGGTGCTGTTGGGGGCACAGGACCACCAGAGACCTCCTTGCCCTTCCTGTGCCAGCCTGCCTGGGGCACAAGCCCCCAGGCATGCGAGGCTCACCCACCCAAGGGGATTGGGGCAGGTGGAGCTGGGGTTTTGGGGGACATGGGGGATGTGGCTGGGCTGTGCCAGTGTGGCCCCAGCAGTGGTGAGCTGGGGCTGGGGGCTTGGGCCTGGGCGCCCCTGGGCTTCTCCCTGAGGATGCAGCACGAGTGGGCACCGGTGCTGTGGGCGAGGGGTCTGTGGGGCTCCTCAGTGCGTTCAGTGCACCCCTCCCTGCTGCAGCTCTGTGGGGATGGTGCTCTTTGGAGGTGTTGCCTGCTTGTCTGTGGATGCTGCCTGCATCAGTCCCCTTGCACAGGCAGAAACCTTGATCCCCCCATCACCCTCCCCATGCTGGCCGTTCCTGCTGGCCTTTGAGGGGCCAGAGCTCACTCTGAAGTGATGCTGCTGACCACCAGCCATGGTGGGGACTCTCTGGTAGGGGGAAGGATGACCTGGTGGGCAGGGCTGGAAGGAACGGGTGCCAGCTGGGGTTTCCTGCGCAGCAGCAGTGACCCCGCAGTGGACTATGGCTCTTGTGGCAGTTGGAGGTCCCTGCAGAGCCACCACGCAGGGTTGCCCTTTGGGGGAGCGGGTGGGAAGGGGAGAAGCAGTGGATATAACCACAGCTGAGTGGGAAGGTGTGGGTCCCTGCATCTATCTTCGTTCAGCCCAGCTTCCCCCTCCGTCTGTCCCAGGGCCGTGGCAAGAGGCTGTGGGGTGGGGAGACGTGGCCCTGTGCCACCTTTCTGCACTGTCTGCCTTCCCCATCCAGATGTGCTGGCACGCTACCCCCGATCCTGGCCATGCTGGGACATTTCCCAAGCAGCCAGCAGGGCTGTCCTGCTCTGTCTAGCTGATTACTCCAAACCCGAGGCCATTTCCCTTAAACAACAGCTGCAGTGGCGCCTGGGTTTGGGTCCTGGTTTCCCTGTGACCTTTGGGGTATGGGCCCCTCTCTGCCTCCCTGTGCCCTGGAGTCACATCAGCACCTGGAGCCTGTTGTGCTCCTAGAGACACTGGCACAGCCAGGACTGGCACTCTTTGGCTGGTGACACCAGGACACCCTGGCCCTCATCAGGTCTTTGTCAGGGACATATCTGTCATCTGCATGTCCTTGCCACTCTGATGTTTGTGGTCCTGTGCCCAGAGCATTCATCGCTTGCCAAGCAGAGCTGCTGGTGCTGTGGGCAGGGGCAGGTGATGCAAAACTGGGTCCTCCCTGCCTCACAGAGCCCTGAGGTGCCTGGGCTGGGGGGCAGGAGGGGACAGGAACACTGGGCAGGGGCTGTCCTCTCCTCCTCTTGGCACCCATGCTGGACAAGGCTGGTGTATTCATGGCAGAGACCACAGAGGGACACAAGAGCCAGCTTCTCACATCGTACCCTGGTGCTTATCAGCCCCATGCAGAGGAAAGCCAGGAGCCCCAGAGGTGTGGAGGGTTTGCCCCCCCC